ACCGGGAATGCGCATCCGGTATTACCGACTATACAGGTGCCAGCAGGGTTACAGCTTTTAATGGACGATGAAAGGCTGCACGATACTGGTGTTCCTGTGCTTCACCAAGTAAAGCAGTCGGACCAAATTCGAGATTCCGTTGGAATTGAGCCGCCTACTGTACCATATCCCGAAATGTCCACCCAACCTGTAGATGAATTTACTACAGCCGGTTACATTGCCTGCGCATTTCCTTGCCTATTTCCCTCGGGCAAAGCTGACCTTCGCGATTTACGAGAACGAAACCATAAAGTTACAGAATCAGAATACTTCAAGCACCTGATGAGGTACAAAGATAGACGGTTTGCATCACACCCGACTTTTCGTTTTTTTGCCCTCAACAGTCTACTGCGATGGCAGGCTATGAGCATTGGCCAATTATTCGTAAGGAAGAACATCTTCGGGACAGTCACTGTAGCTGAACTCCGCCACAGACTGGAGACATCGCCAGGCTTGATAAAGCAGATTACCAGTTTTGGGTCAAACCTCCGTGGCACTCGCTCTTATTGGATGAAACGGAGCGGCGAATTAGTGGATATGGTCCACGACATCGGCATGCCCACACTGTTTTTCACGCTATCGGCAGCAGATCTTTACTGGCCGGAATTGATTGACATAATGGCGCCAGATAGTGAGGTCGTAATCGACAATTCCGCCCAGTCATACACAGAAAGAAACAAATTGCTGCAGAACAACCCAGCTTTAGCAGACTGGTTTTTTGTTGAACGAGCGAAAACCTTCATCCACGACGTTCTAAAACCGCATTTACACATTGTAGACTACTGGTACCGGTTTGAGTTTCAACACCGGGGGAGCGTCCATCTGCACGGATTACTGTGGCTAGAGGGTGCACCGGATACAGCACGACTGAGCGAGATGGCTCCTCAAGAAAGACAGGTTGTCGTGGGCTACTTCGACAAACTGGTTACTTCGATAAATCCCGGCGTTGATAGTCCACCATCCAACGTCCATCCATCATCACAGAAGCTGTCTGAAGTAACCGACAGCAAAGCAGACTACATTAGTCTCGTCAATCGGCTAGAACGACACACAATTTGTAAACTTGGCGCCTGTCTGCGAAAGAAAAATGGACAGCTGGTTTGTCGTTATGAGTTTCCAAAAGATATTAAGGAGCTGTCCGAGTTGCTGGAAATTTCCAACAAATGGAAACTGGAGCTGAAGCGCAATGATCCCAGAGTTAACCGGCATAACGAATTCACTTTACGAATCTGGCGAGCTAACATTGATTTTTCACCAATCGTTGACCGGTATGCCGTTTTGAACTACGTTTCCAAATATGCGTCCAAATCTGAGCCTCGATCTGCAACCTACTCCGAAATTCTGCAAAACATTATTCGCGCAGAAGTCACTGAAGCCGATCTTGGAAGGAAAGCAGTGCAGAAACTTCTGATAAAATCGGTATCTGAACGAGACTACTCAGCGCAAGAATGCTGTCACTTGCTACTCGGACATGACCTTTACAGCAGTTCCCGTACGTTTGTTTCAATTGTTCTGAAGTCCGATGAATGGATACCAGTGGCAGACTTGGAAACCGAAGAAGGTCAAGCAAGTAAGGAGAATAAAACCATTCTTCAAAAGTATTCCGCGCGCCATCCTTCTTTAGAAAATGTTTCTCTTTTGGAAATTGCTCAGCAATACACGTGGGTAAAAAACAGTTGGAAGAAACGAATCCGGGGGAAAGAAGCAGTCGTGCGGTTATTTCCCAAGTTACAGTTGACCGAAGAAACTGGCATAAAAGAAGAATATTACCGTCAGCAAGTACTTCTGCAAATTCCATGGCGGGATCCTTCCATTAATGCAAACGGGCAGTCATGGGAAGAGATATATCAGGAGCATCAACTGTTTCCTGAAATTAACGTTCCTGAAGCCGCAGACCAGCAGAATAGTGACAGCAGTGATGAGGAAATTGTTGCCCAAGAACAAGACCATGAGCAAGACGAATATATGGTGGTACAAGGACTGGGCCCCAGATCTACTTTACCAACCATTGAACTGGGCACACGACAAATCGACCGAGAGACGGACTGGTCAGCAGCGGCAAATCAATATGAAAATATTGGTGAAATGTGTTCTTTCCTGGAGACGGCTAGACAAAATTCTGACACTGTCGAAGGTCCATCGGCAATGCCTAATGTCCAGCTATCTGACGAACAGCAAAATGCACTTAATTTTTTCCAACGACAAATAGCAGAGGAAGTGACCGATAAATGCTGCATCGTGCAAGGAAAAGCAGGGAGCGGAAAATCTGTTCTCCTATCATCGATGCAAAGTGTACTGTGCACAACGCCCGAATATGGAGCCACATCCTATCTTCTACTTGGGCTAACGGGCGTTGCCGCCGATAACATTAATGGCATCACAATTCATTCTAAGCTCCGAATTCCAGTCAATCGACCTTTCAGAGAACTGGAAGGCGAAGAACTTCATCGTTTTCAAGAAGAAATGCTCTGCGTCAAGGTAATTTTAATTGACGAGTTCAGTTTGATTGGGTGCAGCTTACTGGGAAAAGTCGACAAACGGCTGCGGCAAGCAAAACCCGATCAAGGGGATCTACCGTTTGGTGGCTTGATAGTCTACCTATTTGGGGATATTAAGCAGCTGCCCCCAGTGTTGGATCATCCACTTTATGGGGACGGATATAAGAGCGACCTCGCTGACCACGGGCAATTGATCTATCGATCAGCATTCACCAAAGCTTTTATATTCACCACGTCACAGCGTCAGAGCGGAACAGAACCTGAACAGGCTCATTTCAGAGATGCACTAGACCGGCTAAGTGTTGGAGAGTCAACCCTGGAAGACTATGACAAAATGATGTCACGCAATTACGGCCTACTTCCGGAAGATGAACGAGAGTCATTTAAAACTGCTATTCGGCTATTTACTGAGCGTGAGCCAGCGCGCCAGTACAACATTAAAGCCATCACTGACCTGCGAATGCCCGTAGCAAAGATTAAAGCCAAACACAATACCAAGGCGGCCGCCAGGGGTAAATACATAGTGTACAACTTATATCTCAACTTCTCAAAATTTGGTTTCATGCTCTTTTATAGGTAGCGATCAACAAGCTATGGGGGTAGATTCGATACTGTATTTGTCAAGAGGATCTCGTGTTATGCTTAAACGCAACCTGTGGACGCATAAAGGCCTGGTGAACGGGGCGTTGGGTTTTGTTCGGGACATTATATATGCGCCTGGCACGGCTCCAGACAACTCAATGCCGCTTGCCGTTCTCGTGGAGTTTGATAAGTTCAAAGGCCCGACATTTGCAAATAACTGCGTACCGATTTGTCCAATAACATCTGAATGGATCGACGGTGGTCAAAGTGCTACCGCACTCAGTTTCCTCTAGCGTTGTCGTGGGCAATTACTGTTCACAAAGCGCAAGGTATCACCTGCGATCGGGCCGTAGTCCACCTTGGTCTCAAAGAATTCGCCTCAGGTTTAATCTACGTGGCTCTATCACGTGTCAAGTCATGGAAGAGATTAGCCCTCGAGCCAACTTTTCCGTTTTCCCTCCTCTCCAGTATAAAGACAAAAAAAACCACGATTCAGCGAATCAAGGAAGAAGAGCGGTTAAATCGCTTAAAATGGATTTCTTCTAAAACGTTTGTCCCTTAAAATAAGTTGCACCATACCCAGCTTACAACAACGGAAATGTTAATGTTATGCGAAAGTGCAACCAACCACTGACTGTTTTTTTGCCTAACGAGTCCAAAATTAGTAAAACATATAGCTTTAATAAGCTGCGCTCCGGTCTGCCAATGCACGCAAAGTGCATTTTCCTAGTAACAATGCATTTGACTTCTGCACATGAAATTGTCTCAACAACTAATCTCGTTAAACTCCAAGAGCAACAAGTACTATTCTCTAATTCCAGGCCAACCAGCGCTAGATGATGCGGGGCATTTGCATTACGATCAAGACGGTCGCACATGTTAGTAAGTACGAGTAAAGTACTCTGCAAATAATTGGTACTGATAGTTCACTCGAAAAGTGTACTGCACAGACATCAGCCACCAGCACTGGATGAATATCTTGCGCTTGCCACGATGTGTTGTCTTTTTTATTTATGCCATAAACCCGTGCATAGATGCACTTGTTGGGTTCATATTGCATTGCATAAACGGTTCACTTTGCATACGCGCATAAACCTGGCATAAAGTACACTCTATGGATTCGTTTTGCATCCAAATGCACAGACACATAAATACAAAAACCTCGGCAGAGACAAACGTAATGGTTTCATTTTGCATAAATGCATAAGCTCGTGCGTAAAGCAATACGAGGTCACCGTTGTGCAACCTTTTACTACCATTGGTACAGTATACCTGCTCCAGTAATTTCCAAGTTATTCAAATATGCACCGGCATCATGGTTTTGAATTTACATAAATAACTTGAACACTTCACAATCTAGAGCAACTCCGAATCTTGCACAAGAGTGTTTAAGGCAAATCTTTATAGTGTTTAATGCAGGGAGGTTCTACTGCACGTAACCTCCTATGCAACCTTCGAATTTTATTGGGAAGGAAGTATTTATGCTGGAGTTTTTTGTGTTTATACAAAATGAACCTACTGCAAGTTATCTATGATCAGGATTATGCATAATGCATAACCCTTAGCACAGATAACCGCGCGTCTATACTAGGCAGCTCGAATCCCTGTCGGGGATATTGAGCCACGATACAAGTTTGCGCCGCTTGCCTAGTACTACTCCTAACATTTCCCAAGGTGCAAAGGTTTCTGTTGTAAGTGGGCAAGAAAAAAATATGAATTCATGCTTTTGATACTATTTATCAAGTCATCTCCACAACAAGCAACCCATACGAAGGCTTTTAAGCAGCTGATAAGAATCAAAACGCTCCATATCAGTGTAATCTACCGCCATGCATATACTTGCATAATCCGCAAGCAACCCCCTTCATTACAGTACATTACTCGGTTAATTTACATTCAATACGCACTGTATAATCACGCCGCTTTTTGAGATTCGCTAATACAGCTGCAGAGTATTGCATCTTAAAACGCAGCCAGTTTCCGTTTAAGAGTGATATTCTATGCCCTTTTGTTGAAAATTTATACCAGTGTTGAAATGCATCTTTATGAGAGACCGGATCGTTCTGTGTACTCATCCACCGCTGTAGATGTCGAGATCGATGGATGGCTGCAGCACGGCCACGTGATTAACATCACCGAGGCTGAAGGTGCCTCGCAGCGTCTGCTCGTCGATTTCGGAAGTCCGCCACAAAAGCCGGTATTGGTGGAATACGGAAACATCTTTGACTGCTCCGTCCCAAAGGAAGCAGGACTAAGTTGGCTGGAAGAATCTCAAGAACCCCCGTCAACGTCTCAGGCGGTCGTGGAGGTGCTGCTGCGGGATCACCCCCTTCATCCCTGGCGATGGTATCCTGCCACAATTGTTAAGCGCGTCTCACTGGCTTCGGATTACGCTGTAGTGGACGTGATGATGGCTGGGCATCGCTATCGGGAGCTGTTGCCCTCAGAGCAGATCCGGTTGCGGTCGGGTAAAGACGAGCTCGAGATACGGAGGCTACTGCCCGGTCATTTCTGTTTCTTCGTAAAGACCGATGGTCCGTATCTTCCTCGGAAATACTTATCGACGGTTACCATTGAAAAGAAGCGAGCCCAACGCTATAGAATGGGAGAACGGAAGCCCAAACGCCGCTTGCTAGCCATGACTGTGCACCGGCCACGTGGCGATGCGGTGAGCATGGTTAATCAGCGACTGGTGAGTCGCTGCAGTTTTCACCCTGTCATGGTAAAACTTTTCACCATGGTTCGATTTGCTTTCTAAGGATGTTAAAACGTTCAGACATAAATATGGAAAACAACAATTTTATCCGCACGACAATTATCTTTTCAGAATGTTTTGAGAAATGTTTCAGCACCTAAAATAAGCAAAATTCTGATAAGCTCGCGCAAGGAAAATGTGTGATCCCAAACTCACGCTTATGCTGAAACTATGAGTGTTAACTCTCGACTTTGAAAGATTTATTTGGTGATTAGAATAAAAATTTAAATAAACTAAAATAAAGAATAAATTTCTATAAAGAATAAATTTTAATTCTTTACATTTTAAGTCATACAGTCTCCGAACCAGAAAGGATTATGGAAGATAGAAATCTTATAAGAAAAATAAGTAAGCATCCGCAATTTTGCTTAACTGGATTATTTCAAAACACTGTTCCTCACAGACGCAAAGCGACGACACAGGGGCTTATGGCGATCAGCTAACCAACAACGCGGTTATCGATGGATACGGTATACCGCTACCGGTAGAGTTACTGAAGGAGATCTTTCTGTCGCTGGACACCGTCGACCAGCAGCGTTGTTGCCGCGTTTGTGTACTGTGGGAAGAAATTATTCACACCCCGGAACTGTGTGCCATCGTTCGTGCCAGAGTGATGGACACTTTTTATCCGCAAGCGCAGCAGGTTTGGCATCCAGATTACATGGCGTACAGCTGCGTATTCGAGCACATTACCACCGAAACACGCACGATCTGCTTAGAGATTCCTCGTTCCAACTACAGAGACAGACGAGAAGGATACGAACCGTCAAATGCGAAAGTCTTCGCGTTGAAGCTCATTCAGGAGATCTTGGACGATGCCGGTGTTCGCATTGAACGGTTGGTAATGTACCGGCGTTGGCAAGATATTAACCTGAACGGCCATCCTTTCAGTCAACGCCTGCACGACGTGGTCAAACAGTATGCCGGTTTCGCGACATGCTGTAAACGCATCGTCTGGGCTGATTGCTACAGGCGCTTCGTCGAAGGTCGTAACAACGAACTTTTCATGAGTTTCCATTTTCGGCAGACGGCTTTCAACCTGAGCTGCATCGATGTGGCAGATATGTGGGATCGTTTTGAGGAAAACCTATTGCTTAAGAAACCACTGAGTTTATCGCTTCTGACGCGCTGGACAAACAAGCAAATTAAACTGAAATCTGCGAAACATTGCCTGGAATTGGCGAAGGTATTCCAGTGACCTTAAAACCCACTCAATAATGCTTTCGAGTATTACATAGGCAAATGGCTTCATTTAAAGATGCGTGACCATTAACGGAGGGTGTGCTTTGCAGATACTGGATATGTATCAGACATGCGATCCGCGTCCGTTTGCGCACTATTATGCTCAGACGTGGTCTGTAGACAATCTGGTCAGTCTGGAACTGGATAAACTGAATAGAATCTGTTTGTATGCTGTATCTCGCTATGTGCACTGCGAGCAGGGTGCATCAGCGGAAAACAATCCAGAGGATTCCGACGAGGAAGCCAGCAAAGCCAAGGAAGTAGTCAGAGAATTCAATGTAGTCGCATTCGGTGAGGAAGCCAATGATGACGCTTGGGATGAGGAATTTAATACTGATTTTTACGACGAGGAACCCAACGAAGAAGTTGACGACTATGACAAAGAAATGCAGTACTGAGTAGATACTGAGGACCGCATTCGAGGCGCTGAGCAGGTTAATTTATATACCGTACGCAATGATGTCTGTTTCTACTCGTATCACAGTTTCTTTGCGACAAAGTTATAAAAACGATTCCACAACTTGTATACCATACTGCTAACGCAACTTTCTTTCTGTAAAGTGTGTCACTGGTGTTTTCTTTTAAATAAAATATGCTTTGGGGTTAACCAGGTCGAGAAGGCGAACGACCGTTGATTGGCAGTTATAAAGGGCTATACGCTGTGCGGCGTCCGATGGCACGGAATACGGAATATGAGAACGAGCCACTATTTCGTCGTTTAAATTTGAACAACGAAACGAGGCAAAGAAAAAGCATGCTTGTCATTGCATGTTGCACGTAACGCGTTAAAAGAACGCGTTAAAAAGATTTGGTAATTCAGAAATCCCTCAAGCACAACTGTATCAAATGTAAGAAGGAAGAAGAAGCAGCTGATGAGCAGAAAAACTGCATGTATTTTCTTACACGACTCATCACTCTGCTACAGAATAATCACATAATTATTTCATATGTGCTCATCACGCGAAAATGATTGCACGTTGTTCGGTTTTGCTGATAATGATAGCCTGCACGATCGCCTCTGTGTCAGAATGTATTCTTTGATCGTCAATGTTGTGTTCTTTGAGTCTGGCTCGCATATTTATTGACTAATTCTATGACATTAGGTGACACATATTATAGGCCGCCAGTCAAGGTTACATTCATTGATATAAAGTTATCACGGCACTACAAACACAATGATGCTAAAAATAGCTGACAAAATAGTACAACCTTGCCGCGGCGGCCGCGGATACACCGGTGCTCAACAAGGGAGCGCTTGTAGGCAGAAAACAGGCCTTCTTACGACGCAGGGAATAATGAAAGGCAGCAATGTCAGCGGAACGAGACCGGGCGTCCGGATGGTATAGGTGTTAATGCAAGTGCCGAATTTCATCAGCAACGTAAGATTTTTTTGGATTTACCACATGTGCGAGTACTTCACGTATTTGCTGCATATGGCTTAATTTTACAGCAATTTCAGTGATGTAAAATGTACGATGCAAACTGGAAGGACTGTAGAGTTTCCAAGATTAAAGCGGGGCGGGGTTCCCGCGACGGGCCTGGTATCCGGCCACCTAACATCCTTCTCGTGAAATGCAGCAAAATCAAAGAATGTATGACCTTTGGTGTGAATTCATATAGATTTTATCGATTTCTGCATTAATGTTCGAGATTACGGATACTTGTGGAAGCTGTCTAAGCAAACGATGTCTTTTGTGCTCAGTTGAGAAACTGGACTGGGGAGCCCCTTTACGGGAAGCCAACGGAATGATTGAAAGAAATTTGCTAGAAATTCCAATCCCTTCTTGCTGTTCTCAGTGAGAATAGCGTCAACTTGCACATTTCGTGGTGTTCCCTTTCAGCCAGTTTTTTTATGCGATGTATATGGGCAGCGACCAACTGTGACACAAACTGAATTATTTGGCGGCGGGGGTATGTTGTAGGTCATTTTAGCTTTTTCTTTAACTGCAACTTTAACAGATAACAAGTTTTCCGTTGTTGCTTTAATGGTTTGTCCTTAGAATGCAGATTCCCCAACCGTTATTCACCAGAGTCTGAGCCAACCGTGGAATAAATCGCCCAGCGGTGGTTCTCCCACCCCTGGCACTGGGTCATTCTGGGAGCTTTCACTGTTTCCTGATGAAATGCTGCCCGTTAGCGCCCTTTCGAGGGTGTGGTCTGCCTTCGCTGTCTTCGGAGCGATAAAATCGTACCCGTCGCTCAAAACGTAGCGCCACAAGGTGTCCAAACAGGGTTTCTTCAAATCATGCACTTCAAGCAAGGGCCCAAGATTGTCCAATATCCAGATTTTAGCGGCATAATGCGCAAACGAACGAGGACCATCGATTTCACATTGCTGTAGACTCTGCAAAGATACAACGTGTACTGCAAAAGACCACATTAATTTTACTTTCCGCCACATCATGCCGCTTAAAGCGCTCTGATTTAGTACGTAAGCTGATTTCCTTTATAATCAGTAATACAGTAGAATGCGCACCCACGCACAACAGTGCGACAACCGATATGTGCACATACGTGCACAAAGTCCTTTAACGTTAAAATTCTGGGCAGCAGTACTAGTGCTCTGGCGTTCGGCGGAACGAGAATCAACGTTCTAGACTGTATGATCAGGCATTTCGAACACGCGGCTGTGATGAAGCCAAAAGCGACACTGACCTTGAGTAGCCGGATGCAGCCATATTTGGTTTTCCGGTCAATCGACCTCGCTGTTAACTGCGACACGCTCTTCAAATCCAAAAGATTACCACAGGCCAGGTACTCTTCAGAGCGATTCCAGGGCAGTTCTTCACCAACGTCATTCAAACAGAAAGCGGCATTGGGAAACTGGAATGAAATATCTTTGGCAGACCACGGATTGCAGTTCTTCCACAGGATCCGGCCACAGCAAGACTTTAGAGTGAAATACTGCCGCGCTATGTCGTCGAGAAATGCTCTCACCCAACTCTGCCGGATCATCAGTGCCGGCGACACGGAATAAACGGCACAACACCAAACGTTCGATGCGGACGCCGGCATATTTTAGGATTTGTTGGATGAACTGGATCGTGGCACCAGCTGGTGTCTGGTGCCGGGTGTTTCCGCCTCCCTTCAGATCTCGATGATTCCGCAGACAGATTGTTCTGGTAGCGGGAGTGATCTGCTTGAAAATACAGCTGTGGGAAAGGTACGTGGCGATGTAGTACTCCGCGAATGATGCGCACATGGAGTCATACAAAACAGCGGCAGCGTCACACAAAACTGTTGCGCCACTTGCGGGGAAGCAAGGATGTCGTCCCACAGCCAACACGTGCGTCGGCAGCGCAGCCGATCGAGAACTTCCAGTGAATGGAAAACTTCCACCAAAAGCAGTACGAGGATGAACGCACTCAAACCGACAGCAAATTTTTTCAGTCAGACCAACCGACAACCACGCATACGGGCAAATTATTTTTTCATATAACAGCCACCCGTGAAAGGAAGGTATCATTTGCACTGTATGCCTGGAACAGGTGACAGCCATCCGTGGATGGCTGGCAGTCGCTTGCACTATATGCACGGTTGGTCTCGCTGAAAAAATTTACTGTCGGTTTGACTGCGTGCATCCTCGTACTGGAAGTAGCAGGCCGCCCTCAGGGGCGGTTAACAAAGTGGTGTCGAAGTCGTTCTGGCCGTTTGCGTTAGGGTTTTCGGGTTGGCCATAAATTGTTTTTTACTGAGAAAAACATATGAAGGCATTGATAAGAAAGTGCCATTACCATGATTACCACTATCACAACCAGGACTGCCTGTTTTCCGTGCCATGCCGAGACGGCAATTTAATACCGACTACAATTATGCCCGAAGACAGCTTGCTATTAAGGGACGTGACCCGGTACCTAAGCCCTAAATTCGTATACATCTATGGAAACTTTCGTTTCGCGCACTTCCAAACACTTTTTCGGATTAGATTTAGATCGTAATATTCTGCAGCTAATTATTTTCACAATTAGGCGTGAAATTCGTTTTCGCGCATAACATCCTGTTGCAGAGTAATCAGGGTAAAAAAATTCAACAAGTTTAAAGGTTCAGGTGTACCCCATATGCGAGAGAAAGGGAGTCTATCGCATTACCAAGGGATCGAAGATAAAAATTTCTTGAAGTACTAGGGCCATTGAGACTCACCAAATTTTGGTTTAATTCCGGCAAGACGCGGCGCAGTGGAGACTCGATCAACCGGCACTGCAGGTGCTGCCGCTCCGTACCTTGGCAGTCGAGCAGCTTCAATTTTGGTCGCATCATCGTCCAGTACCACTCCTCCTCACTGTTTCGGGGAAAGAAGAAGTGACCCGGTTTCAACGCTCGGTGCTGAAGTTCTTCCACTAAGAGCGGTTGGCGAATCTGCACGTATGGAATCAGTTCACGAATTGTATGTCCGTTTAACACCACTTCCATTAGAGCATAATGCACCAGCCCGGCCAACTGGAACATGACGACTTTCGCTGGGTACCATTTCCATGGCTGATCGTGACCCGCGGAGTAGCACCTCGGCTGTAGGTATCTCCGCTTCCGCAAAGCGGCCCATTCTTGCGAGAGCGCCGCTGTTACCCCGCTCCGTTGCCCACCGATCGTTTCCGCTGCTTGAGCCATCGAAAACCTTCCCGTAATCCACCAGCACCGGCTCTTGTACCGGGCATCCGAAATCCACGAGCAGACGCAACCCATGGCCCTCGTTCTCCTGTATATCAATCACGTGACCACGCTGCAGCTGTCCATTGACTTCAACATCCACCGAATTCCATGCGTGTACCGAACGGCTGCCGTCTTCGTACCAAGGTAGCATGTTGTTGTCGAATTTTGTGGTTTCTGCAGATTTTAATAATTTGTGGTCGTGAATTATAAGCGGAAAAATTTAGCTATTCAAAAAATTAACATGTGCAATCGGCAGAATGCTCATACAGAGTACTTTACATGAACAAAGCTTAGTTATTCCTGCACCAACAGTCGACGGGGAAAAAAAGTGTACCCGGAAAAATATTCGACTGGGGCCATGACAGTGTCCCGACCTCCCAGGTGAGACAGCTTGAGTTCCTGACCGCCTCCGCCGTAATTGTGAGTACTTACCAACCTGCGTTAAAAAGGCACAAATATTAATAAATGTTGCGCACCGATGTTTTTGCTACGAAATTGAACGGTTGGAAGCAAATACTATGAACGGCACGTAAAACATCACAGAGTAGCTCATCTAAGGAATTATTGAGCCAGGCTCCGTATACAAAATGTCTGTTCTTCTATAGAAAGGTATTCACTATCGTAGTACATATGATGTTTAAAAATAATTATATTTTCAGCTGCTGTGGTCCACAGGGCGGCCTTCGCCGTCCTTAGCAAACCGTATTTGGCTTTATTTTGTTTTAACTTGAGAAATGAATGCTGGGCTCGCATCCATCATAGCGACCTTTAAGTTAACGTACGCCGACATTACGGTGTCACAAAATAGCTGCTAAATAATTCAGCTTCTAACGATTTACAAATCCTGGCTGTATCATCCCGGCTGTCACTTTCTGCCTCTGGTTTAATGTAGGCGTTGTCTTAAATCGGCGAATCCTTCCTCCGTTTCTGAGTTTCCACTGTCAAATGTGTGCTCACTGACTGGAGCGGAACGTGATAAAGTAATTAAACATAATATATAGAAATCAGATCGTGAAGCTGAATCAATTACCATTACGTAGGCGGTAGGGTGTCAGCGCGTGCATTTTTTGTTAATTGGGTGGCTATTGCCAATTAAAGCTATTACCATATTATGGTAATTGATTCCGCTTCGCGATCTCAAACTTTGCAACCTGTCCAACGCCCATATTGTACTGTATTAATATAACGATGGACGCGGATCTCCGGCTTGATATTGCTGGAGCCTCAGCCTGGAGGAACTAGCCGGAAAGAACAGATCACGTCGTTGTAGCAGAAATGCATTTAAAAATAGGAATTGTCATTCGTGGATTTCAGCCCCATACAACAAGATGTTGTGCGCACAAACAGTTTTCAATACTTCTAGTCCAAGCAAATCCTTTGCTCTGTGTGGGAAAGTCAACACGAATACAAATATAAATCTGAATCCAAATTGAATTTGAATACCAATTGAAGAGCAGAGCGACAACGTTTAAAACGGTGAAAACACACGCATCTTGTCAGCCCTCTGTTGATATTGGTAGTGCAGAAGCAAACCGGCTCCGCTAGTAAAGAGCGTTGGGCCGTTGGCTCGTGGGGTGTTTATTACGAGAACAGCAGGCGGCAACAATCGTGCTTAGCGCTTTCGTGCAGCCTGAACACCTTGAGCATTGTTTTCTGTCATTCTGTAGCCAGACGATTTGTATACGCTGGCGTGAAAAACGTTTGTACTCGCAAAATCCGACTGCTTACACATGGCGGATTAAAATTGGAAAAATGTCTTTGTGCTCGCGCCCCAAATTATCTATCCTTGAAAGTTTGATACTTTGGCACGGTCGCGGTTTCCCTTATAGTCGTACTTCGCCTGTCATGACCACTCGTACGCTAAAGTTAGAGGAGTCGAATTATATATTCTGGGTGGATAGTCTATCTGTCAACCGGCGAACGAAATACGTAGCAGCAGAATTTTGAGTTTAATTATGTGTATCCTGGAGATAGCCAACGTTCAAGTACAACACTGTACAACGAATCTTTATAACGCACAATCGTACTAGCATATACTGTAACACGCGTGCATGCAAGCTTGTCCCAAAACAACAATATTACGTGACGCAGTGAAGACCGTACAGTTGCTGATGACCATCCTGCAGCACCTCCACCGCTTCCCTGCCACATTTCTCCAACAGGTCCGCTCTGACCGCGCCCTGAAATCCGGCAGCAATCTGGCGCAGTGCTCTGCAAGAACAACATACACGGTGCCTTTCGATACTGTTGTGGGAACACGGCAGCACAGGATTTTCACCTACTCGCATGCGTTATACTGGGCGCTGGTGGCGCTGTGCGAGGCCCTCGCGAGCTCGGACGAGTTCCCTTGTAGCAGCACGCCGATGAAACCGGGAAGTTGCTCTTGACAGTGTGATGAGGCGCGCGCGAAGCGCAACGGGTTGATGTCTAGCTGACATGTCCTAGCCGTGACGCCAAGCATTTCCGCTGCGTACCAGGAAGATTCATGTGCAAACTGCTGGAGAAACGCCGCGTCATGAGCACAACGGACCGGTAAACTGAGCAGGCAGTGGGCGGAGTCGTTGGATGCTCTGTGATACCAGAGTTCTTTTTGGGGTGGGTTTCAGATTCCAAGCGAATCTAGTAACGGTGCAGTTATTTAACACCGCAATGTGGCTTTTCGCAGTGGCCGCGCCTACAGATACGGTAGGCGAAGCCACATCGCGAGGTGGAGTTGCTGCACCGCAACAAGATTCGCTTCGAAATTTATACCCACACTTAGTCCTTGTGCAGTTTCAATCAGGTTTAAATAACAATGCGCGATTGTCAACCAGTCGATAGTGGGCTACCTGCTCTGATTACAACTAAAATAAATTAAGTACAAAGACGAAAATATGGGCTTAAACTAAATTATTATTTTTTATTTTATTATTTGATTTTGCGTGGTAATGCTATGAGTGTATTGTGTACTTTTGGGCAGCTGATGTTGCCAACCATTGCAGGGTCATTGTGCGCGGTGGTCACTGCGGTGAACGGTTACTTCGGCCATTTTCAAATATGAAATGCTTTAATATGTTTCAAAACGCTTATACTTATTGCGGTCGGTAATAATTTTTTTAGCAAAGTGACCATAAGCCTTTTGTTTCATCACCTTAACTGGGACAAATTCTTTATTTGATTTTGTTTACTGAGTGATGATCGCTGATGTAAATATTGTGAATAAATGTAAAGTTTATTTGACTATTTTGTTTTGATTATTACATTTACGAATGTACATTATAAATTAAATTCAGTAAAGACACGAAAATACTTTTTGCAAAATTCTGAAAACTGGAAAAAAACCGGCTTCATGTGCCATAATGCAGCTCGCACGCCCATGACGTGTTTAGATACTGTACTCTACACATTCCCTTGATTGCGCTTTAAGCCGTATTGCCACATAGTTGTGGAAGGGGAATGTCATTTTAACTGCACGCTACGTTAAAATACGAGAGAATGTTTTAAATGAGCAATGATGACGACGCTCAACTAACAGATCGAGATATTTAAGAGGCTAAGTAATTTACTAACAAGTAAGCTTATGTATATCACCTGCAGTAATTAAGAACCAGTTGCTGCGAGGCATTGACAACCGCATCCGCCATTGGCCACTCCAACAATTTCAGCACATTGCGGTGCCGAAAATATGGTTCCTGGCATTTGTAAATCTGGTCAGGACTGCATGCTTCGCTCCGTATCTTCCCGGTACACAGCGCCAATACCACCATGAGAAGAATATGCGCAATAAATGCCATTTTGTTCCAGTACATACATGGACAGCGATCTAGCAGAAAACGATAGTATGCAGGCTTGCAGCGCAGTGCCAGTGTGAATATTTTCGAATTCTGTTTACAGATGCTATCGTTTATTATTCAAGATGTTTATCTTTGGAAATCAGTGCCTTAAGAAGTGAAATTGTCACGATACATCGCGGGGAAAAGTAAACCTGTTTTGTAGAATGGCGCATCATTATTTTGCACTTTGGAACGAAATCGCTCTTAATAATACGATCTTAATAAGTCTTAATAATAATAATAATACGAAACGCATCAGTGTTCGGCTTTTCTTTTTCTCAGCCACAATTCCACAAAGGCTCCGACTTCCGTTTAGCAGGGGCGGAGTTCTCTGAGACGCGCACATTCGGCCATGCAGACTACTATGAAACCGTTAAAGCGACGGAGTATGTGCCGCAGTGGAAGAGGGCGCAGCGGTAGCGAATCGGAATGATAGACGGCTGGTATTCTCAAAGATTCTCAACACTCTGCATCGGCACTTCAAAGAAGTGGTTTTCCGAGCGGTGTATCTCCCTCGCTGTAGCATTCTCGCAACGGTTTTCGTAATCTTCCTTAAGGATATGAGCCATATGATGCGTCACGAAAGAAAATTTTGTTTATTGAACTAATTGTTGGCAAAACAGCGTTGAAGATGTGTTACATTAAATAAAAAATTTAATCACCAAGCCGGAAAATGTACGCAAAATCATTTACAGTATTACCGGCAAGTTGGTAACCATCTGAAGTTGCCGGTTGTTTGACACGGCCATGCGCCTCTCTGGTTCACCACGCACAACTTTCGACCTCGACGGGAAGGGACCACAGTGGACCAGCACTGCCTTGCAGTGGGTACCGATAGTGAGCACATTTGGGAACAGTGACAGTGCGGCGACAAATTCACTACCCATAAACAGCAGAAACAGGGATATTGACCGCACTGACATAAATTTCCTTGTGAGGTCATGAAGCGTAAGAACACTGCAGTATGTACCTAAATGCAAAAGACGACCGGTCAAAAATTGGAGTCAATAAGTTTCGAACCCTTGCCGATATAGTCTTTCAGATGTTATGAACACTTATCGCAACGAATAAATCTCGTTTTCGTCGCATCAAACGGACCAAACAGTAAGCAGAGACTGTATGGACGTGGTACAAAATAATTAATTTGTAGAATGTGTGGGAAGTCAACAAAATAGCCCTTTTCGAAATTGCTTTTAGCTGCATTGCTTTTAGTCAACAAAATAGCCCTTTTCGAAATTGCTTTTTGCTGAATACTTCGCTTTTACTCGCGTTCCGACCGCTTACAGATTACACCTTCACGTTCCGTCCACCCACCATTTCACTTTGCCTGCATCGGCCCACATACAAATTAATTTATAATACTTTACAAGTAATTTTTAACCAGTAAGAACGTATATTTCTAAACCGAATGCAACAAGGAACAACAAAAAATTTATCACAAAATAAAGTTACAAGAATAATTTAGAGATCAACGAATTCATCCAAAACATTTGCTATATAAAAACGAGGAATTATCACCAATTAAAAATCATCGATTTAGTTAATAATTACCAATTCCTTATTTGGTTTTAATTTACTAGAATTAATCACCGTAAAAATAAAATTTAACCAGCATGTGAAAGACTCGTCAGTCGTCACATCGAACTGTTCGGTTTGACTGGCGGCGTTTTATAACAATAGAAGTACAAATATACTTTGGACTTGAAGGATTAAATTTTACGTGTTGGGGAAAAACAAAGTGAAGTGTGCAGTCAGCTGTTAATAACCACGTAGCCGCTCATTGCAGGGGCTACTAATGCAATTGGGTGGACGGAACGTGAAGGTCTAATCTGTAAGCGGTCGGAACGCGAGTAAAAGCGAAGTATTGCTTTTTTGTGATACTGAAGATAACGAAGAATTCTGAAGAGCTAGCAGAGCCAGCAAAACGCTTACACGTACGAACAAAGTCAGCGCATAATATCGTACAACTTGCAACTGCTAAATTGTTTGCCATTCATAATTCACGCCATAATTGCTGAACTGAAAAAATTTGACAGCTAATATGGCTAGACATACCGGCACGTATGACCGGTTAAGACGCCGCATTCCAATTGATTGGAAAAGCATTCAAGCTCCACCGCTAAGTGGTTTTCGGTAAGAAGAATTAGTTCAATGTCCAAAAATTGAGATCTTTCTAATTTTTGTTCAAGATGTTTTTAAAAAACTCAGCGTGTATAATAGCTGTATGTCTCCACTGGAAACATCAAACCTGAAGATTTCCCTTAAACTGGTGCTTGACTGGGTTTTTTTATGACTTACACAACATAAAATCTCTACCGCGTTTGTACTATTGCGCTGATCTTGAAACTCTATTTGTTAAAAAGCGCGATTTATGAGCTTTCTAATGAACCTATACATTTTAAGAACAAACCAAACCAAGGCACACAACAAATTTTCAAATTAGTCATAAAGGCTGACATGCTATAGAAAGATACGTATATCTCGTTAACATCATTCCAAAACATGCTGCGTTCACGGTGAGCTGATCGTAACACCTAAACACAACAATATGGTCAACCCGCTTAGACAACATTCATCCGCTTAAATGTAACTGTAAATTGTATTACACTAGTACTCTAGTAATAATCAGTAATTACTAAGTAGCGAAGTCCCGGTAACAAGCGATACCCAACAGACATGGAATGTTATACAACGCACTGAAAAAAGTACATTAATCATCACTCTGTAATGCAGTACATTTCTTTCTGTTATCAAGTTAATTTCGCTAGATTGCTGCCAGCAGAAAGAATTGGCAAGGGTTGGCAGCCTGGTTCAGTCAGCGTAATATCCGTCCAGCAGGACCAAAGCCAACCGGCTCAGCCGTTTAACGTTCAGCTGCCGCAAATCGGCATTCGTCCAACATTCTGCACCATCTCGGCCGAAACTACTGCACCTAATACATTAAAAGATTCATATGCACCATTTTGATTCAGCGCTCAAGTTAGAGAAATTTCGTAGTATCGCGTAGCTGATTTTGCTATTTTTCTTGTCGCTCGAACCATTACCTTTTTATTTGATGTTGTTAAGTTCTTGTTCACTATACTCAAATCGAATAATGTATTTTCTTCTTCTACACCATTGCAATCAAAATATGTATGAAAGCGCAGGTGCTGCGCTTGCATATTTTGATTACAATGGTGTAGAGAAAGGTTGAAATTATTGCCTTACGCGATATTTATTAATTAAGTATGGTTGTTATACAATCATGTACCGAGATTAATAAAAAAAGTGCCAAGCTTTTAATGTGGAACAACGCAGAGAATACCGTGCCTCCGATACCCGGTATGTACGTGAGTCCATATTGTGAAGATGCCACGTCCTACTGTTAAACCAAAGAATATTATAAAATTAAAAGTTTTAGGAAAACTTGGGAATTTAAAAAGCTAGCAAAACGGTTGCTCGACTTTTTGACGGGTTGGCGCCGTATTCATACGACATTGTGACGGTCGACGGATTTACTCGTACTTACTAACCGTTTGAGAAACTGACGAATACGATTCCACTCCTTGGGATAAGCTAGCGTCTGCACCCGGCCAGCGTGCACTTTTGCGACCTTATCGTACACTCGCTGAGTAACAGCCGGGCATCGTTTGCTTACTGCCATTAAAAATAGTTGATATTGAAGAGCACATGTCCCTGTCAAGGGGAATCTCAACAAGGGAATAACCACATCCAGCTGGGAGAAATTGCGTTCATTAGCGGGCCGCGGAGCAACAGTCCCATGAACCGGCAGATACAAACACCCTGCGATGCCGGAACGATCGCATGCCGTGTACATGTAGTTGATCAACACCAACCGCTCACACACACACTTCATTAGATCCAAGACTCGACAGGTGAAGTAATTATTCCCATTAAACGGGCTCATGCACAGCCCGAGGAACCCAGCGTACGACTGCATCCGGCCATCAAAGCCGTTCTTGACAATCAGCCGGCGCAGATGGATGCCCTTGGCCACCAGCAACATCACCATGCTGCACGTTTTTGCTCCGAGATCACCGCGGTCGTTGCTATCACTGTAATATCCTTCTTCATCGAGCAGCAGGACAGTCTGTGTATGGCGGGAGATGCTACGATCCGCAACCTCCAGAATTCGGTACTTGTTCAGATCGTCTGATTCCCAGGGTTCTATGAAGCCCTCCGACCACTGTTCCCGGACGCACATTCGGCCAGTATATATGATAATATGCCGGCTGTTCTCCCTCTCTTGCAGAAGGAGCATCCACAGCGTGCACACCCTGAATGTCAACCGCGCAATATTTATTGGCAACCTACCCGGCCATTTACCACCAAACGATCGCCAACTGCGTCGATCGCAAAGTGGTAAAGTAGCTGTCTACTTAGTGGAAATGGCCCGGTACCCGGCCACAATAATTTTCAAAGTTGCTGTTGCCGACCTACCGGTTAATGCGAAACTGGGTATCAACGTCAAAACTTCCAAGAATCCAACGGACGAGCTCCAGCGAAAGCTGCCCGAAACGCATGTCCTGCGGACCTGCAACATAAACGGAAAACGTTGGTCGTCCATGCATGTGCCAAAGGCGGGTGCTGCTCTGTGAATCATTACCATTCCGCAAGGTCTCCGTTATGCCGTCCTGGAACGTGGCTAATTTCGGTGAATGATGCTCGGTCAGGAGTTTTTCGCAGGCAGCCTTCAGGGACTCTTCAGTCCAGTACATACCGCGTCCGTCGGCAGCTCCTTCCACCTCCGCGCAAATAAAGGTGACAGTGTCAACGCCTACTCGCGCAAACACGCGACAACCAACATCGAAATCGTAGCGCTGTCCCAACTGTCGGTGCTGTCCGCTACAGCGAAATATAAATTTATCCTTTCCAGCCGATGCTGTGAATGGGCAGCTGGCATCACACGGATCATCGTTGCCCAGCACTATCCGGCACGTACGCACTAGATACAGCGGCAGAAAATGGACGTCACACAGCAAAGGCGCTTTCGCGAATGCAATGACGTGTTTGCGGTAC